TATTTTTGATCAAATAAATGCAGCCTTGGTGAGAATAAGAGACTTAATATTTAAAAATCATCGCAACATTTGGACTTGTGTATGTGAATAAAAACCATGAAATTCTGATCAAATTTGGCTTTGCACTAATTTTTTAATGTAGTAACTTCTGATCAATCTCAAATAGAATTACTTGCATAAATAGTATTACATAAAAAATATTTTATTGATTATTCATCATGCAATCTGTTACATATCCAACTTTTATATACTGAATTTAAGTTGAAACTGAGATCCGTTTAACAGATGCTTGTCTAATAAACTCAGAGGTGCATTGCATATACTGTCTGTTGTTATTAAATACGCCTAGAAGTGTATTGCATTTTTTGTGTGATGTCATAATATATAAAATATTTGCACATACAGTGGAAACATCCCACTCATTCTTTGTACGGTAATACAATTACCATAATGATTTAGTTTTAAGACATTAAGCACTTTTTCCAATGTCGGGCTGTAATTTCTATAGTGAATATTTAGTTATGTTGCAATCATCCGCTCTAAAAAAAAATCTCATCCACTAGAAATTATTCTTTGTGATATATAATCTCTATTTTTGAAAAATCCATATCCATTAATCATAAAAAATTAGAAAAGTCATGAAAATGCATAAGTCAAATGGTGTGGCAAACCTTACTGTAGCATTACAGTGTAAATAAAAGACACAAGTGCACATTGTCTTTTCCACCTCCACATGATTGGCTGAATGAGTTTGGGTCACGTGACAGTCTTAACAGGTCAACTCTGTTCAGGAGGATCACAGGCTCGACTTAAGGCTTGATTTCAGCACTTCCTCTGGTCCTGCAATGGTTCTCATCACTCTCATTGTGTGTTTGAAAGATGCATCAGGAAATGTAGAGGGCGAGGAAGAGATTTCACAGTTTCACAGGTTACAGGCTCTGGACTGTTGTGCCTCTGTTAAATCAGCTGGCATCGGTCTTGTGCCATGTCCAAACACACCCCGTCCAAACAGGTTTGCCTCATTTTTTCCTGCCTAGTATGAAAAATCCTGGAACTGGTGATTCATCCATGTTGGCAAATTACAGTTAAAGAGGGAAACTTTATTTATATTGTATATATTTGGTACTGTTTACATATGAGCTGCTCATTTTTATAAAATACAACAGTGTTATTTTACTATTATTTATACAATATACTATTATAGTATTTAATAATACTTTGAATTAGCTTTTGTTATTATTTTTTTAAAGGGATACTTCACCCCAAAAAATTTAAATTCTGTCATTAATTACTCACCCTCATGTCATTTCAAACCTGTAAAAACTTCGTTCATCTTCGGAACACAATTTAAGATATTTTTGATGAAATCCGAGAGCTTTCTGATCCTGCATAGACACTGACAGCAAGGGAACTATTACGCTCAAGGCCCTGAAACGTAGTAAGGACATCGTTAAAATAGTCCATGTTACATCAGTGGTTAAACCGTAATGTTATGAAGCTACGAGAATACTTTTTTTTCTTTCTTACGGGTTTGGAACTACATGAAGGTAAGTAATTAATGACAGAATTTTCATTTTTGGGTGAACTATCCCTTTAATTTTTGTTTGTGCTTTAGTCATTTTTATTAGTTTTTGTTTTTTTAAACATATTTTTTTAGCTTTAATTTATTTTTAGTTTTAGTAAATTTAGTACTCCTCTTTATGAATATGAATTGAGTTTATTGACTATTTTGCAATAAACTTTTAATATATTGCATTTTGTATTTGCAGTCTAAGTCTTACAGTCTTACATTTGATTTATTAAATTCGGAGCTGGTTAATTTGATTCATGCTCAGATTCAGAATTGTTTATTGAGGTAAATATTTTTCAGAATATCTGCTAAGATCATAAACATGAGGCTCGTTTTCAGTCTGATACCAGATACTGTGATAGCAGCAGTAACGCACCGTATCATTTGTCACATAAATGCTCAAGAGTGAAAGAAACTCTACCTGAAGGCATTTCTCGAATGCTTGCCTTTCAGTGCTAATTCATGAATATTGCATCAGATGCTGAAAAACAGCTGTCAGGGGGCTTTTGTTCAAGATTTGACTAGTTTAAAGAGAGCCTCATAAATGCTGCTCTATCCTCACAAAACCAGACTTTGACTATCATTATGAAGTGTGTCTTATTCTGGCCACCTGTTTAGTGAGGAAGGGTCCATCTGAACGTCATGTAAACTGAAAAACCCAGTTTGAATCTAAAGTAGGATATAAATATGACCAACTGAAGTGTTTTATCTTAAACGCATCATCTTATCTTCATCCCTTTTGCTCTTCCAGGACCCAGGCGGAGATGGGTCACACATGTCGGGGCACCATAAACCTGGCCACGGCCAATATCGCAGTGGAGGACTCCTGTAACTTCGTCATCTCTAATGGCGGCACGCAGACGTATCACCTGAAGGCCAGCTCAGAGGTGGAGCGGCAGCGGTGGATCACAGCACTGGAGCTGGCCAAAGCCAAAGCTTTCCGCATGCAGGCTGAATCGGGTCCGTTGGATAGGAATGGGAAACCACATTTTCAAGAATAGCAAAAAAATGCACACTTTGAGGTTTCTGTTTCACAGTTTTCGTTCCTCTTTTTTCCTGCAGATGACTCCGGGGATGACTCCACTCCTCCTGCAGCAGGTCAGGGCGCAGGCTCACGCAACTCAGAGGTGCAGTCCACCCTCCGGACGCTGGGCAGCAAGGTGGAGGATCTCAGCACCTGCAACGACCTCATCGCCAAACACGGCTCTGCACTGCAGCGGTCAGTCCACTTTTCTCCACCAGTTTGGACACACTTGACTAAATTTATGGTTCTCATGACATTAATAACCTTTGCTTGAAATGTATTTATTATTATTATTATTATTATTATTTCATATATCAATATATATTTACATTATTTTAATAATTTTATTTATTATTTTAATTATATTTATTTACAAATTATTAAATTATTTACTTTTAATTAAAAAATAATCCAAATAATTATTAATATTTTATTAAAATAATATGAATATTTTGATTTAGCTTTTAATGTTATATATGTATTTTTACTATTATATTTAAACTTAATTTAAGCTTACATTTTAGTAATTTATGTACTTCAACTTATTTTATTTCAGTTATGTGCCAAGGCAACATTTCTAATTTAGATTGTTTTCGTCAAGTTTTATTTTATTTATATTTTATTAAGATATTAATATTAATATTTTGATTTAGATTTTATTGTTATATTTTCAGTTGAAGTTTTAGTAATTTTAGAACTTCAACTTATTTTTTATTTCAGTAATTTGCCAAGGCAACACTTTTTTCAGGTTTCTGTCTGTTTATCTATATATCTATATCAACACACACACTCTTTATTTCACTTCAGTTTTGATGGTTTTACTATTATTTTGAAGTGTGGAAAATAATAATATTCTAGAAAATGAAGGTGTGTCTAAAACCTTTGGTTTTCCACTCAGATTCGGCTCATATAAAGTCTTTGTGTGACGGCCAATTAGTTGTTTATTATGCTTTCTTTCAGGTCCTTGTCTGAGCTGGAGGGAGTTCGGCTAGGAGGAGAGACGAGTGAAAAGATTCGACAGGTGACGGAGCGAGCCACTCTCTTCCGCATCACCTCCAATGCCATGATCAACGTAAGACCACCGAGCAAAACAAAAAAAAAGCGACTCACTGCCTCATTCACTTGTGGTTGTCTGTTTAGCACACAGAAACCACAGTTAAACGTATTCTTAACGATTCTCTAACAATCTGATACCCAGGCCTGCCGGGACTTCTTGGCGTTGGCTCAGACTCACAGTAAGCGCTGGCAGAAAGCCCTGCAGGCCGAGAGAGAGCAGAGAGTGCGACTGGAGGAGACACTGGAGCAGCTCGCCAAACAACACAACCATCTGGAGAGAGCCTTCAGAGGAGCAACCGTACTGCCTGCATCCCAGAGCAACCCTGCCATAGATAGCAAAGGTACTGTACAACTGAAACCGAAAGTCTGGGTGTCACAAGATTATATATAGACTAATATGTAGACTAAGATTTCTAATGCTAGTCTTCGCTAGTTGCACACAACAATGAAGTGACAACTAGTGATGTCTGATTCACCAATGAATGACTTTTATAAGCAGATTCTTTTGAATGAGTCTTTCAAAACTGAAACAGAAATGTTTAATCACAGCATAGTTTTCATTAAACAAAGAAGTACAGCATTAGACGTTAATAAACAGAAATATGTACCTAAATATACAAGAAAGTTTGGGGTTGGATGTTTTTAAATCTCTTATGTTCACCAGGGCTGCATTTATCTGATCACAAATACAGTAATATTGTGAAATATTTTTACAATTCAAAACAACTGTTCAGAAATTCTAATATGCTGATTTACAGCTCAAGAAACATTTATTATTATCAACAGATGTGCTGCTTCATATTTTGGTGGGAACTTTTTGTGATGCATCTTTTTCAGGATTCTTTGATGAATAAAAAGTTTAAAAGAACATCATTTATTTGAAATATAAATCTTTTGTAACATTATACATGTCTTTACTGACACTTTCAATTTAAATAAATTTAATGCATGCTTAATAAAATTATTAATTAATTTAGATACAATAAGGTAGTGTATTTCACAACATTTTGATAACTAAATTGTTTTAAAAATGTTTTGGTATTGCAAATGAGTCATTAAATCAGATTTTTTTAATCAATTAAAATTTACATTTTGAATTATACAGTTTGAACTGATTCAAAATACTCCTTTTCTATTCTTTAATAAACATATTGGCCAATTAAAAAAATTGCAATGAAACCTTTGCAATATTCAAAGTATTCCTTATTTTTTAAATTGTCAGCCAATTCCTTTTGAATATTGATCATTCTAACTCCTTTCTATATTTAAAAACTCCTGCTATACATTTGGATATGACATACTGATGTCCTGTTTATATTTTATACTTCCTGCTTTCTCTGTCCTGTAGGCCCAGTTTCAGGAAAGGGTGACGCCAGTGACGAGGATGAGGAGAATGAATTCTTCGACGCATGCGAGGACGTTCAAGAGTTTATCACCGTACCAGCAGACCCCAAATATCACAGGTCTGTATTTACTGCCTCGCTCTTGTCGTTTACTCACATCCCTCGCTGTCCCTTAACTCTCTTCTCATATGAGTGTTACTGGACCTAAGTGTGTGTGTCCTCTGCCTTCCCTTCCCCTTCCTCCTCTCTCTCTCACTCTCTGGCTCTCTCATACCCTCTTTCCATTTCTCTCAGGAGATCCGGCAGCAATGTCAGTGGAATCAGTAGCGAGCTGGGAATGGACGATGGGACGACGTCGGTAAGGCGTTATGTTGTTAGTGTTTATGTACACTGGCAGAATAATTATGATTTTTAATGTTTTTGAAAGAAATCTCTTAAGCTCACCATGGCTCATTTATTTAACCAAAAATACAGTAATAGCAGTAATGTTGTGAAATATTATTACAATTTAAAAATGTGATTTTTAAATATTTCTTGAGCAGCAAATCAGCATATTAGAATGATTTCTGAAGGATCATGTGACACTGAAGACTGGAGTAATGATGCTGAAAAGATGCTCAGATCTGCACCACAGGAATAAATTGCATTTTAAAATATATTCAAATAGAAAACAGTTATTTTAAATTGTAAAAATATTTCAGAGTATTCCTGTTCTTACTGTATTATTGATCAAATAAATGCAGCCTTGTTGAGCAGAAGAGACAACTAATTTTTTTTTTTATTATTATTACAGACTTTTGACCAGATTTAGACCACCGTTGTATGCGAGTCAAATTCGATTCCATGTGATGTCTATAAATCAAAAAACCCATATTGACGACTAAAGTTCATGTTTTTTTTAACCTCTCACAGCTAGATGAGCAGTCTCTGGCATCCAATCCCGAATCTCCACAGTCCCAGGAACTAGTGCCTGTGAGAAAGAGGCGGACCCGAATTCCAGATAAACCAAATTACTCTCTCAATCTATGGAGCATCATGAAGAACTGTATCGGAAAAGAGCTCTCCAAAATCCCTATGCCTGTACGTTCATCCGTGTCTTTACGAGAATCCCAAACAGCCCAGGTTCATTGCATTTGCTGTCAACGCATCCTTTCTTTTCACAGGTGAACTTCAACGAGCCCCTGTCCATGCTGCAGCGTCTCTCCGAGGATCTGGAGTACTACGAGCTGCTGGACCGGGCCGCCAAGTGCCAGAGCTCTCTGGAGCAGATGTGCTACGTGGCAGCTTTCACCGTGTCCTCTTACTCCACTACAGTTCACCGCACGGGCAAACCCTTCAACCCTCTGCTGGGAGAGACATTTGAGCTGGACCGCGTGCAGGAGAGCGGCTACAGGTCCCTCTGCGAGCAGGTGAACCTTTGTTTATCCTGAGATAGAGGAAGAGCTGAACCGAACTGAATTGCTCTTGATATTAATGTGTTCTTCAGGTAAGCCATCACCCTCCGGCTGCGGCCCATCACGCGATCTCCGAGCGAGGCTGGACCCTGAGACAGGAGATTGCCTTGGCCAGCAAGTTCAGGGGAAAATATCTCTCCATCATGCCCCTGGGTAACTATTTATCCTATTTTGAGCCTTATCACAATGTTCAAGTTTTAACATTTAACAGGGAAGTTTTTATTTTTAAAAAACAAACATATTATCAGGAAGTGTAATGCAACAAATCCATTAGAAACAATGTCGAGTGAAATCAAAACATTTTTGGACACATAATTACATTAACTATGAACATGTTCAACTAACATTTGACAAATGCAAAGTGTTTTAACTGTAGCAGTTTCAACAGTAAAAGTTGTTTTATAATTTAAAAAAACCTAACTGAAACTAAATGTTTTGCCTGAAGTGTGCCAGTGCTGCCTTTAAATTAAGTATCACATGATTTTATATTTAATTTAATGCAACAACATTTGGACATTTTTAATTGCGACTTAAATATCCAAATACTTTTTTGATAGGCCAATTTAAATGGTACTATACAGGGTTGCCCAAACTAGATTTTGTGAATCGATGATAAAAAAAAAAAATTTAATCATAAAAATGTATAAATTATTGAAAATAAAAACATTCAAAATAAAACACTAAAAAATATTTATTATATATTAAATACAAATAAATATTTTATTTATTTTCATGATGTCATGTGACAATTAACCAACATCAGAGAACTGTAAATTCTGTTAAATTAAAATGAAATGTTTAAAATGTTGTTAAATTATTAAGGTATTATCTTAAAATCTCAGGGGGTATTTCAAGTAAAGGATATTTTAAGTCAAAAGATTTGGCTGACAAAATAAATGTGGAATCTGCATTAATATATTAGTATATTTTGTTCATGTAGAAAGATGGATATTTGAATGTCTAATGCTTACATTTATGTCTTTAAGCAAGAGTTTTCAAGCTCATTTTGAATTGCTTGTTTCTCCAGGTTCTATTCATTGTATTTTTGAGAAGAGTACCAATCACTACACCTGGAAGAAAGTCACAACCACAGTGCACAATATCATTGTCGGGAAACTCTGGATAGATCAGGTCAGAACACAGTCTGCTTATTTAGACATATATTTTCATATTATCAGCATCAGTGTGTCTGTCACAAAATGAGCTGATGGACTTGTCAGCAGATAATGCTACAGTAATTTCTGTAAATATTGTGTATAAAATGTGCTCACTTCATTACAGCAATTTTTGGTACATGACACTTTCTTATGAACTTGCTTATGTCATTTAAATGATATTATGTACAGTGGGGAAAAAAAGTATTTAGTCAGCCACCAATTGTGCAAGTTCTCCCACTTAAAAAGATGAGAGAGGCCTGTAATTTTCATCATAGGTATACCTATTGGCACCCAGTTTTTTTGTGCATTTAATTTTTCCCCAAAATCATTAGCGTTACTGATGGTTTTGCATTTGCATTATACAAATGTAGCCCTTAAATTGCAATACCTATAGTGTGGAATTTCATTTAATTCATAAGGGATAATTGTGTGTCTCTCTCTTTCTCTCTGGATTCAGTCAGGAGAAATAGATGTTGTGAACCACAAAACAGGCGACCGCTGTCATCTTAAATTTGCACCGTACAGCTACTTCTCCAGAGACGTGGCCAGAAAGGTGAGTCAGCAGCTGTTCCACTGACTTCTTTCCATGTCAGTTTTTTCCCCTTTCATCAATCACCCTTTGCAACTTTTCATGTTCTTTTTGCCCGTTCTGGAATTTATGTCTGCTTTCACTTACTTCTTGTGTGATGCCTCTCTCTAGGTCACGGGGGTGGTGACGGATAAAGATGGGAAAGCACACTATGTTCTGTCTGGGACGTGGGACGAGAAGATGGAATACTCTCGTGTGATGCAGAGCAGCAGAGGGGGAGAGAACGGTGCTGACGGACGACAGAAAACCGTCTATCAGACGCTCAAAGCCAAAGAGCTGTGGAGGAAAACTCCGCTGCCGTAAGATATTCCCTGACGTGTGCAATTAAAGGAATATTTCCCAAGTTAAGCTCAATCGACAGCATTTGTCTTTCCATTTCTTAAAAAAAAAAATAATAATAATATTACAGTGAAGCAGACACAATGAAAGTGAATTAGGCCAATCTGTACAAATTAAAATACTCACTGTTTCAATCACACAGCCAAAAGATGTAAACATTGTAAATGTTAACATGATTTTAGAAAAAGAAAAAAAATTCTGTTGTAAGTTGCGTCCAGTTTTATAAATCTGTTGTAATGACAACGGAACACCATGAACCCTAAAACGACTGTAAAAAAAATTATGATTTAAACCGCTTTACTGCTAAAAATAAAGCATAAGTTGTATTTTTTGTAGTTTCTGTATTTCCCAACCTGAAAAGTATGATCCACGTGAATTGTGAAAATCTAAAAAAAATGCTGTTTTCAAATATATTTAACAGACATTCTAACAGAGCTGCACAATATTCTGAAATCTTCCTCAAATTTGAAATAAGAATTGTTCATCAATCTGTTGTCCAAAAAAAAGAGAGCGGTTTTGAGGTCTCCTTTCAGTTTCATGCCAAAATAAAAGTTCTGTGATTTCACTTTTGGAAGCAAAGAAATCAAGACCGACATAAATATTAGTGTCATTTTACTGTTGTTCTGTAAAATGAATTATTATTATTATTATTAAATACTACTTTTTTTATTTTACAGTACAATAGTATTGCATTGGTTACATTTTTTTTTTATATAATAGTAAAGATATTTAGAAAATTGATGATAGAAATAATAATAATATATTATTATTATTATTGTGTACTCAAATTTCAGGGGAAACAGTGCTTTATAAAATTCTAGGCTTCCTATTTCTGCATTAAAATCCTCCAAAAATGGGTCCTACACATTACCATTGTAAGTGTTTCACTGTAAAAAAAAAGTCAAAAATATTTTTTTTTGTGGTTATAACACTATACCACAAATGCTGTTGGTTTAACTTGTATTAAACTCATTAAATATTAATTTAATTAATGTATATTAATTAGAATAGACGAGACTTCCAAGGAAGGTTACAAAGTAGGGTTGTGACGGTGAGGACATTTTCCCACCGGTTAATCGACGAGTGACAACAGCGGTAATACCGGTATCACCGTTGGGGTGGGGGGTTAGTTCGTTTGAGTTTCCCTCTTTTCTTCGCTTTCAAATGGCTTGTAAAAGTGCCGTTCGAATTCTACTTTCACTTTCAAATTAGTGGCAACTGCCGCAATTCGGCGTCAAGCAATTGTTCGTTTGAGTTTTCCCCCCTTTTCCTTGGATTTCTTGGCTTTCAAATAGCTTGAAAAAGCGCTGTGCGCATTTTACTTTCACTTTCAAATTGGGGGCAATTCAGCGTTGATTCAATTCAAGCAACAACAACGTCAAACTCAGAACTTTTATTAACAAAACGAATAAAAATACACCTATATGGTCTATGAAAATCAGCAAACATTGTGGAACCAAATAAATAAGAAATATAGAAAGTTTATTAGCAAAACGAATAAGAAAGCTTGGAGGCACGGCATATACACCTTGATGTTAAATAAAATACACAGTTTAAATAAAGTAATCAGCGAACACAGTAGAACCAAATAAATAAGAAACGAATGTTTAAAAAAACTTCCAGTCAATAGGCTTTTCAAAATCTAAAATATTGCCAAACAGGCGCCTTTGCATTTCCTTTCTAAACAATCTTCTGCCATTGTCTTGTCTTTCTCACCTCACTCTTGTCAGTCAGCTCGACTCACTCTCCTCACGTGATAAATAAAATCTATTCGGCACACTGCATTGAGTGTTTAGGATTTAAAAGTATCTGTCCTCTAACTGAACTAGACTAAATGATTTTTGTTACTATAAAAAAATCTAAACGATGGTGGGGGGCGGTGCCGCGGTAGGCAAATGACGTAACCGGTGTTGCAGCTTAATACCGGTATAACCGAAAACACCGTCTATCGCAGCAAGCCTATTACAAAGCCATTGCCTAATTAATATTCCTGAGTAGTTGGAGCTGTGGCTTAGCATTTAGTGCATGTTCTCTGGCACATTGTGTTGTGGTGCTCAAGTGTGAATTCAGTTGGAATTTCTTGATCTCTCCATAATTTCCTGCCATTTTTTTCTCTCTCTGTGCTGTGTAGGGAAGGCGCTGAAAACATGTACTACTTCTCGACCCTGGCGTTGACATTGAACGAGCTGGAGGAGGGTGTTGCTCCCACGGATAGCAGGAGGCGGCCGGACCAGCGTCTAATGGAGCAGGGCCGTTGGGAGGAGGCTAACGCTGAGAAACAAAGGTTGGAGGAGAAGCAGCGCACTGTCCGCCGAGAGAGGGAGCGAGAGGCCAACCGCGCCGCCAGCCCTTCAGAAGAGGGTAAGGAGTCAGCGGACAGGGGTAAAGTGTCTTTTTATTTGTCATTCTACTCGTCTCTCCTCCTTTCTTCCTCCTCCTCGGCGTCTCTCATTCACTCCCGTGTGTCTATCTCTGTCTTTCCCTCAAGTTCTCATTGAGGACTCGCCACTCGCCTCTGACTCGCCTCTAAAATGCAAGTACTCCTGTTCTACTTCCTTTTTCTTTTCTCTTTTTAATTGTCGTCGTCTTCTTTTTCTCCCATCTCACACAAACACATATGCAGTCACTGTAATAGTGCTTATTTGCATGACATTAAAGGAATAGTTCACCTAAAAATTTACATTTTGTCAGTTTGTTCCAAATCCACATGGCTTTCTTTCATCCGTGGAGCTTTTCCGTAGAATTAAACAAAGGGACTAAAACGGTTGCACTCCAAATAGTGTTATTTTGATGTCATTGATATACTATTATAGTTATTTTAAAAATATTTTTATATTAAATATTTTCCCCCCATTTTAGTAAGTCTGGTTTTGAATTTTTTATTTATTTATTTACAAATTTAGTTTGTTTTAGTTAATGTTGTTGTGTTTATTTGTCGGTTTCATTCGTTTTTTAAAATGTATTTATTTAGATTTTATATTATTATATACTATTCTTTTATTTCACTACACTAAATGAAAATTTTAAATTTTGCCGTTGCAACTAACTGAAATTAAATTTTAAAAATATATATATATATTTGTATTTTATTTTATTTCAGTTGGCATCTATGTTATTTCAATTATTGCAAATGTTTTTTTTTTTTATATAGTTTTAGTTAACGCTGGCTCTAAAATGACAAGTACCAAGTACCATAAAGTATTAGTACACCAATTTTGTAATACTTTGGTGCTATATTTCTTAGAAAATTCACCTTTTATGTTCCATGTATGAAAAAAAAAAGTCTCATTGAAGTTTGGAATGACATAAAGGTGAGTAAATGACAGAATTTTTATTTTGGGGTGAACTGTCCCTTTAATATCCAGGAGCACTTTCCCCGCCTTCATTATGCCATTCACTCATTGTATTCTTTCTTTTTTTGTTTTTGTCTTAATTTGCATCCCCCTTTTTAATTTTTGACTGCTCGTCTCTCAACTCTGATCAGCCGAAGAAGTCGAGATTGCCAGTGAGCCCTCTGAGACCACTTACAAAAGCAAGTACCATCCCATCCCTCTCTCCTAATCACACTGTTTCTCGCATTTATCATCCAATCATCTTCATTTTCCATCTGTCTGTCCCTCCATCAGCTGACACAGATGAAACTTCCTCCGATCTTTCGCTATCAAGCAAGTAGCCGAATCAACACTGAAGTGTTGTTTAGTTGTTTTAGGCTGTTTTCACACTTGGTTTGATTGTTTAGTCTCGACCCGAGTTTGATTTAACCTCTGCAGATTTATTTTCTGATTGTATCTTGCTGCATTCACATCATCAAAATTGATGCATCAACGATACAATTTTTAAAAAATTTTTTAATGCATTGCTTTCAAACCAGTTATAAATCATACTACTCCTTATGAACCCTATCCTAGATCTAAATAGAAACAAGCAGATAATTAGACTTAGTTCTTATTTGAATTAATTCTTGCATCATGCATTTTGAAACATAAGCATTTTAAATCACATGCCTGTGCATGTATTTTACTTCCACTAGTGGGCAGTGTGAATGCATAAATTGTGAATGTATATTAGACAGTATCATAAACAGAAACTACAGTCAGTGTTGAAGTCCATTCCATGTGAATCTTTAATTTCTTCAGTTCACTCCTCCCGTGCATGCTAACATCTCTCTCAATCCTCTTCTCTTGCCTACATCCCTCCATCTTCATCTCTGTGCTTCTGCAGCTGAAACACTGCACGGCTCACACCCACCTGCATACTCAAGCAAGTACTACACACATGTTCACTTCACACACAGATGCGTACAAAGCCAGTGTTTGTAATGAAGTAGAATTATGTAACTGGAATAAAAGTGGAAACAGTTGTTAGAGCTACATTTTTACAATGTATGGGGATCATGTTATACATTCTGCAGCATAATACATTTGTTGCTAACAGCACAAGATCCACAATTCATGTTAATGTATTCATAATGTGAAACTTATACCCTGATTATCACAGACAATTACACACACATGCATCATGTTATACATCGCACACGCATTATAAAATGGCAGTTGTAGGATTAAACTTTGCATTGTGCATTTGTGAGCCCCTCACTGGAAAAGACCCTTACTGTCTCGTTATCTGTTCTGTGTCGCTCTAGTGGAGGGTCCTTATGGAGCTCCAGTCAAAAGCAAGTAACATTCACCCAAAACCTTCCAGCCCCTCCATCTCTCAGCTAATAGGGCTAGGCGGTATGATCAAGCAGAAAACCATAGTTTAACCATTTAATTGACATGTCATGCCACTCACATTCAGTGTGAAATAGTAGGTTGTTTCCAATATATGCACACCTGTGCTTTAATAAAATATAATTGAATATTTAATAATGAATATATAAATATACAAATTAAATGTACTTCAGTTAATTTAATAAGTGAAATAATGAAAGATCATAACTAAATTTAGAAATATTTGTATAATTGAGTATAATCTCATATAATATTTAGGTTACACTTTATATTATACATTTAAAAACTGAGTAATATTATTTAACTACGTGTTAGGGCTGCACGATTATGACTAAAATCATAATTGGCGATTATTCCCTTGAAATTGTAATTGCGATTATTAATTAAAATTATCACAATTTACATTGAATGATGTTTATACCATTGTTTGATGCAACTACATGCCGTATTTTTATATAAAAATAAACAAGCTGAAAACACTTACTGAAAAACCTTTAGTGCTTTTCTATAGTATTAAGCCTCAAATGTCAACTATACATCAGATTGGTTTCTTCTTTAAATTATAAAAAAAAGTTAAAATATGAATGATGTTATACTAAAACTAAAACAATGGAAAAACCCTTAAGATAACATGTAGAAAGAAAAAAACATATCTTAAGCGTGCAGAATAACATAAGTGGACTTTGAACGATTAATTGGCGCTTTGAACGATTACGTAATTGTGGCATCCATAATTGTAATTGCGATTAGAAGTTAGATTAATTGTGCAGCCCTACTACGTGTACTTACTATATGGTTAGGATGGTTTGGGGTTATTTGCATGCAATTATGCTTAATTTATTGTTATTATAATAGTACGTACATGTAATGTGTAACAAGGTCACTGTAAAAAAGGTGTTACCAATATTTATATATATACATTTTTATTTGGATGGCCTTTTGCTTTCACACCAATTATAAACCATTCTAGAATCCAAATAAACCCTATCCTAAACTAAAGGTACTTATTTGTAAAATAGGTTATATGCAAATATATGTAAAAATAGGTGTGTGTGTGTATATATATATATATATATATATACACACACACACTCCATAGTCAAATGTGCTGAAGTATGTATTATTTGCAAAGAATTGTGTGCAGAAATTAGCATTATGTAATATATAGGTTCATTTTTCAGCAAAAATAACTGCGTTCTTATATATCCTTCCATTACAATATAAAGTTTCACCATGTAACTTGGACCGTGATATAAAATGTTGGTCATGCCGCCCACCTCTAAATGTTACCAATATTGTTTTCCTCCTATTGTTCATTATTGTTTCTCCTGAGTTGACCATGTGCTTCTCTTAGTGCCTGTTTATCTGCCTGTTGTGTAAATGTAGAGTGAGGTGTGTTGAATCAGAGATTGTAGGTGATTTGTGTTTAGTTTAGATTGAATAGTTTAGTCAGCATTTGTCTTGCAAGCTCCAGGCTATATTTGAAATAGTTTCCAGTAGTTTTGCAGAAAAGGCTCTATTGAGTTACTTGCGAACTCATGTACCTGCTGTTCTTTAATTAAGTGACCGTTTGTTTGCTTTTCTATGTATGTGTTTGTTTTGTTCGATCAGGTGGTCACCAGGACAACTACAAGTCGATGTGGTTTGAGCAGCTCGTCGACCCGGTGACAGGAGAGCCCACGCACATCTACAAAGGAGGATATTGGGAGGCCAAGGAGCAGGGCAACTGGGACTCCTGCCCGGATATCTTCTGATCCCAATCACGCACATGCCCCGCCGTGCCCTCACTGTCCCGTTTCCCAGAAAAACAAAAAAACGAAAGCTCAATCAGCTGCCCCCTTCTCTTTTCCCGTATCGTAGTATGTCGAGATACGCGCTCTCTCTTTCGCCAGCCGCGCTCTACTCAGTGGACAATAAGGAACACCGAAATGGTTCGGGAACGTTCTCCCGCCACCATCCACTGTGTGTCTCTCTGTTTTCCTCGTGTTCACAGGATTATTAAAACATAGGGTTCGTGGTTCAGTAAATGCTAGAGTTAGGAAAACATATCCTTTCCCGCTCCACACATCTTCCTCAAGCTGTGGACGTCACATCCTTAAACATCCGGGGGATACGAAGGCCTGTTTGATTGCGTGCGTGCGTGCGTGCGTGCGTGCGTGCGTGCGTGGTTCAGTAAATGCTAGAGTTAGGAAAGCATATCCTGTCCCGCTCCACACATCTTCCTCAAGCTGTGGACGTCACATCCTTAAACATCCGGGGGATACGAAGGCCTGTTTGATTGCGTGCGTGCGTGCGTGCGTGCGTGCGTGCGTGTGTGTGTGTGTGAGTGAATTAGCACATGTGCGAGTGAGTTCAGAGAAGCACTGTATTGCTTGTTCTTTTCATTGAGCGTGTTTCGTGTTCACCTTGGTTTATGGATTTTAAAGGAATGGTTTGCACAAATATGAAAGATCTGTCAATGATTACTCACCACCTTTTTTTTTTTCTTCTTCAAAATATGCAGCGCTTTTCTATTAATGTTAACATAGAATGACCACTTGTCAAACACCATAAAAGTATCATAAAAATAGTCTATGCGATTTGTGATGCTATATCCCAAGTCTTCCGTATCTATATGCTAGTTTTGTGCAAGAAATTTTACACTTGTTCTAACTGGCACAGCAATTACGACACACAAGAACCAGTGGTGTTTTAGAGTCAATAACCTTTCGCAATGAGATGTCAGATCTTCAGTGGAGGGGAAGATTATTATTGAGAAAGAATGTAAAGTTCAGTCTTTTCCTCACACTGAGCCATTGTATTACTTGAAATATAATGTACAAGTCGTATGCAAAAGTCTTATTTTGGTACTTTTTGTAGCTTGACAAGTCTGTAAACTGTTCTACAAAAAAAAAAAA